GGATGCAACGCCGCCTCACTCACACCTTCTCTGTGCCTCCATCCCTCCTGCATCCTAGCAGCCTCCACTGCGGCTGAGCCCGGCGAAAGGAGTTAATTATAAAATCTACGCTGATTCTGGTGGCAGAGGCAACGCGGCTGCTGGAGGTTTAGGCCGCGGGGAATCGGCTGTGACCGACTGCGTTCTGGCTCTCCCGCAGACCCATGGTCGGGAGTGATTCCGCGCAGTACTGCCTTACCCATGGTCTGTCCAGAGGCCGCAGGGGCCCAGTTCAAGGTCACTGTCTAGTTTGCAGAAAGCGGTTCTGCCTTGTATGCAAATTAGGCCGGGCCTCAGCCCCGGAAGTGGTGTGAGCAGGGGTTTGGCCCGCGGAGAGAAGGGAAGATGAAAGGGGGGCTGAGTGGGAGGGCCTGCCCCCCAACCCTGTAGCCCTCTCTGTCTTGCCTCTTTGGAGCAACTTGGGTTTGGGATCTGACTTTTGTCGGGTTCAAACAAGGGTAGGGGGTAGAATAGGGAGCTCAGTCTCCTATTTCGTGGTTTCCAAGCTCCTTCAGGGATTGGAGCCCACCTGGCTCCCAGCCCTCCCTGCGGGTGCCTGGGAAGTAAGGAGCAGATTGGGAAATCCCTTCCCCAGGTGCTGCTTTCTAGGGATTTGCAGCCTGGAGGACAGAGCCCAGTCAGGCTTTTAGGCTCCGGCAAGTAGCCTGGGGCCAACGGAGCCCCTACCTCCTCCAGTTTTCCCGCGGCTTCTCTAGTCCTATGTCTCCAAAAGATCCCAGCCCGATTGCCTCTCAGAAAATGCGGGGGAGGTGAGAGCCCCCAGGCAAGGACATCTGGGAGGCCATCTCTCCACCCCAATATGAGCATCCCTAAATGGACCACCTTCCCCCGTTTTGTCTTTTCCTTCGGTGGCGCGCTAACAGTTAAGTAAGGCTGCAGCTCTGACATTTTCCCCCTCCACCAGCAGAGGATCTCCTCCACCTAGTGAATTACTGAGTGTCAGGCAAGGTGTGGGAACCAAGTTAAAAAAAAAAATCGCATCAAATGCCACACCCACAGACGCCTGCAATGCAACAGTGAGACGTCTCCACCGACCTCTAAACTGGGTCAGGGGGTGAGGACTACCCGGTGTGCCCTCGCTCCTCGGCGTCCTTTTCTGGCTTTGACCCTGTCCACTGGCCAGGCCCAGCTCTGGGGAGGAGCTGAGATCTGCTTAGGGTCTGCTCAGCACCGCTATACAACTGCTTTCCAAGCCCGGGGCCCCAGTTCCGGGCAGAGGAGGGGGGCTCGGGCAGATTGGGGTGGGAGCAACGGGCCCTGGAGGCGGTTGGGAGTGGGGAATGGACTACCAACTCCGGGGCTCGCTGGGCTGGGAGAGCGCGGACAGGAACGAGGGTCCACTTACCTTTGGAGACAGAAGAGGTTCATAAGGGTGAGGGATAGGAGTTCTCAACCTCTAGAAGCCTTCTGGATTCCCCCTCTCCAAGGCCGTGCGCCGGCCTCGCCAAGGTATCAGAGGAGGGCGGGGCGGGGGGAGGTGGATAAAGCGGCCAGCGGCAGGCGCGCGGGAGCGGAGTTGCCAGAGCATCTCTGGAGAGGCCGCCTTTTATGGGCGTTATTAGCGCCCTTGTCTAGACTGGAGACGACACCTCCTCTGTGTGTAAACAGAGGCGGCGAGCTCCCGCGGGAAGGGGGATAGCGCACCAAGGGGGCAAGCAGCCCTCCCCTTCGCTGGCCACCGGAAGATCAAGGCCTTTTCCACCCTCCCCCCGTTCCGTGCGCTCCCTGTGATGTCAAGGTCAGAAAGACCTAGTCACGGTCAAGGCTAAAAGAGGAAGAGCCTGGTTGGTTGTGAAAAGACTCTGGCCCCCTCCTCCTCCTCCCAGAAGCCCCTGGCTCCCCAGGGCCCCTCAATTCTCCACCAGTGCAGGTCTAGATACACATCTGCCTGAACCACTCTTGGAGTTTTCTTGGGGGTGGGCTCCAGTACCACCCAGGACAGATCCAGGCAGATCCTAGGGTGGGGAGTTCTCTTTTGAACAGATGGAGCCACTGAAGGGGCTGCCTGCCACAAGGACCCCACCTCCAATGGGTGGGCTGTTCGGAGAGATAGCGGCTGCCCCAAGGGCCTGTCCCTGCCTTGCACCCACACTGGCCTGCTGTCCCCACACTGCTGACCCAGCCGCCTGTGGATCAACCCCAGGAGCAGATGGTCTCAGGAGCAGACAGTCATGGAGGCATCTGCGGAAAGAACTGCTGTCCTTGTTCTCTCAGGTGGGTTCGGGCTGTGGGACTGCTAGCTGAAAGGCCCATTCTGCTGGGCCTCTGTCTGGAGACTTAGATGTAAGTGGGGAAGGGTTTTTCCCCCAAGCTCAGCAAAGGATCTCTTGAAGCCCTCTCTGGCAGCCCCGGGGAGTGACCACCAGATGGAGAGTCCTGTGAGGCCCTAGGCTGCCTGAGCCTCCCAGCTCCGGCCTAGGGAGATAGGGGGAGTGGGGAGTGCTATCAGATTACGAGAAAGTTAGCAGGAGTCTCAGTCCCTCTGTGTGTCTGTGTTTCCACACAGTGGTTTCACCAGCTCTTCAGATCACCCTGTACCCCCTGGTACCCTCATATTTTCCTTCACACCTAGTTTTACTTTTAACACAAACACTAGGAGACTGCCCTTGGAGAGAAAGACACATTAGAGACTTGACTAAGAGATGAACTATCTCATTGAGTCCTCAAAGACAATGCCAATTCTTGGGAGAAGGAAAGGTGAGAGATCAGCACAATCAGAGTTGTGTTGAAGAAAAAAATCCTTATTCAGGGAAAGAATAGTACATTTCACAACTGTGCCTCCCCAAAACACATACTCACACACACTCACACAATGTTTGCTTACTCTTATGGGAAAGTCATCTCCAAATAAATCCAGGCATGATACTCCTCCAAAATAAATCTGGGTATATTTAATGCACCGCACGAGGGCTCACAGGCACTCAGGAACTGTAGTCCTTGTTAGACTTACCAGTGTGCCAATGCACCAGTAGTGTGCCTGCACAGGCTTTCTTCTTTTTTTTTTCTCCTCCTCCTCTTCCTCCTCTCTTCTTCCTCTTCTCCTCCTCCTCCTCTCTTCTTCCTCCTCTTCTTCCTCCTTCTCCTTCTCCTTCTTCTTCTTCGGAGACAGAGTCTCACTCTGTCACCCAGGCTGGCGTGCAATGGTGAGATCTCAGCTCACTGCAACCTCCACCCTCCCGCCCCCCACCAGGGTTCAAAAGATCCTCCCACCTCAGACTTCACAGACATGCACCACCACGCCAGGCAAAGTTTTTCTGTTTTTGGTAGAGACAGGGTTTCACCATGTTTTCCATGCTAGTCTCAAACTCCTGAGCTCAAGCAATCCACCCGCCTCAGCCTCCCAAAGTGTTGGGATTACAGGCATGAGCCATTGTGCCCGGCTCCTCTTCTTTTTTTACATTATTCCCTTCTAGAGCCTTAGGGTGGTTCCCTCAGTATGGGATGACTACCTCATATGATTATAAATGGGTTTGTGTGGAGAAGCAGAGGGATTCCTCGGAGAACTCTAGACTTCTCTTTAATCAGAATCCCCAATTTCCAGTTTGCCTACAGCTGTGCTTGGGACTACCCAAAGCAGTCAGGAAGGGTGGGGTCATAGTAAGAGAGCCCCAGGCCTCTTGTCTACTCAGTTTCTTTTTCTGACCAAACACACACACACAGTCTCCAATTCCTTTCATCTCAGGGGAAACCCAGGGATTTTGGGAGAGAGGTTGGGATGGTGGGTGGGGAGATAAAGGAGAGATGGAATTAAGAATGAACCTTATTCCTGGAAATTCTCCCTCAAATCTCCACTGCCCAGCGTGTGGCTCTCTAGTAGTTAACCCAGAGTTGAGACCCAGAAGCACTGGCAGCCACGTCAGTAGCAGAACCTCCACAGAGGGCAAATTCTTCAGGTTCTTCGTCTCTCAGCCTCTGTGTGCGTGTGTGTGTGCGTGCGCGCAAAATGTGCATGTGTTTAACCCCCAGGAATATTTATTTAAATGAAATTGTTAAAGCTTCAGCCCCATCAGACAAAGGGAGAATGGAGAACTCTGATTTCCAACCTGACATCTCCAGTGTTTCTGCGTCTCAGGAGAGGAAAAATATTATATATAAATAAAAATTGCTGCAGTAAAGATTTAATCTGAGATAACATTGTTTTAGGCTATATTGCTTTTAAAAAGTCTCTTAACCTGACAACTTAATGATCTCATTAACTCTGCCAGATAGGGAGATAGGCACTGACGCGACCAGGAAAACAAATTAGTGGCAGCGTCTACATAGGCTCCTCATTGCCTCGAAGACTGGGGTTCCCAGCAATGTGGAGAGTAAAAGTGGGATTGGTTTGGCAAACTGGGGGCCAAAGGGGTCCTAGCAGCTCAGCCTCTCTGCATAGGTTAAGTGGGGGGAAGAAAATAGTGCAGCCAGGAAAAGCTGAGCTTGAAGGTGCCCTGCCAGGCTGTGCTGACCCCAACCCAGCCCCAACTCCAGTCCTGAACTGGCTGAATGTATCTGGGGCCCTCTGGGGGCCATAGGGCACCAGGAGCCTAAGGTTAGTTCCCTGCTGCCGCTGGCCACCACCATGTTTACCTCACCCACTTCCCAGCTGGGATGCCACTTTCTCAGTACCCAAAAACAGATCTGAGCCCCAATTATTAAAGTTACCATCAATGTATTTTTTTTACTCACCTGCTTCCAGGCCTTTCAGTCACCAATTACATCTTTCCTTCCTCAACATACACTCAACTAAGTTGGGCATCAGGATGGGAAGTTTTCTCCTATATAGACGGTATAGATAACTCAAAAACTTAAGTGGAGCAAAACAAGGGTTTGGAATATACCCAGCTGGGAGTGATGTCTATACTCCGCCCCCTGATCATTCTGGCAGAATCAGGGCATAGTAGACTGTCCTGAAGAGGCAGTGAACAGAAGAGACTTCAGAAAGAATCTAAGCAATAAAATCAAGGCAAAAAAAGATATTTTATTTTAAAAACATGTTTGTGGGTTTTTTTTTTCCTTTTTGCATTCAGTACATCGTCATTCAGACATCACAATACTATATACAGATACACAACATTAAAAAAAAAAAGCCTATTTCTGATGAACATTTCAAAAGAACACTGTTTTGTAATGCACCAGTGGGAAGGGAAGAGGCAAGGGATCCCCACAGCACCAAGGTGGTCTTTGAGGAGGGAACTGTTAGGCAGCATCTACATTTAGCTCATTTAGCTAATTGAGGGCCAGATCTTCTTGCCTCCTGAACTAGATCCTCTAAGCTTTCCTCTGGAAATCAGTAAAAGTGAAAGTGTGAGGAGTCCCTCCGGAGCTAGTGCCTTGATGGAAAGGTGACTGGAAAGGGACTTTGTTGAGGAACCCATTCTCCATCCTCTTGGAAGAGATGTTTATCCTTAGAAAAAAAGTTCTGCTTCTCTGTGCCTGGCCCTAATCCCCAACCTTACCACCTAGAGAGAGAAAGAGAGAGGAGAGAGAAGCCCTATTTAGCAGCGTGGCTGGAGTCTTTGTCCTCCTTGGATTTCCACATGTTGACTGAGAGAGCAGAATAGGGGAGGCAGTGGGGCAAAGGCAGCCCCCATCTGGCCCCAAGAAATGCAGTTTCTTGGTTGGGATGGAGCGTAGGGGCTGCGTTGATTCCAGGGAACCATCCATACTCCAATCACGCTGCCAGATCCCTAATAATTATCATGAATGTTAACACGACTTTTAAAATATGCACAGAAAATCTTTACTGGGAAATCTTGCCTAAGGAGTGCGAGAGGGACAGCGAAGGAAAGTATGAGCTGGACAGATCCTGCGCCAAAGCTGCGCCCTTAGGGAGGGTCCTCTACTAGCCTGGTGACAGGATGAGGCAAGAATCGGGGCCATTCGGGATTCCCCAACCCCGCTTTGGTTGGAATGACTGGGCTCTGCACTGCCACTGGACTTTCTGGCAAGGTGAGCACAAGGAGGAGTAGAGGTCGACAGCCTTCCTCCCATGGCCCACCCGGGACCCATTTCCAAAGCTGTTGAAGCCGGGTGAGTCCCATCTGGATGGGGGTGGAGGCTGCGGATGGGATAGGGAGTTGGGGATGGCCCACCGCCGCCATGGAGCCTCTCTGCCTCCGGGCGGCGCGGTTCTTCTCTCTCGTTAACATTAAATACTCTTCTGCACCCGCGCAGCATCTTTCCGTGGGTTCGGTTATGGTACAAAGCGGTGACATAAATAGACGGGGCGAGCAGCGGGTGGGTGGTCAGGTGGAGTGGAGATGAGGCGCTTTCGATTTGCTGACCACCTTCTTCTCTTTGACCCGCCGGTTCTGGAACCAGATGGTTACCTGGCGCTCAGAGAGGTTCGTGGTGGCGGAGATGCGCCGGCGCTTCTCTTTGGTGATGAACTTGCTAGCCGCGTATTCCTTCTCTAGCTCCTTCAGCTGCACCTTAGTATAGGGCACACGTTTCTTGCGCCCACGCCGGTAGCTGCTCACCTCGGGCTGCAGGGGAACCACATCTGCGGGGAGATAAGGCAAGCGAGAAGAAGTGAGGCACGCGGCTGGACTGGCCTAGAGGACCGGAGGCTGCCTACGCACAGAGTTCTGGCAGGGGATCAACGGGGCCAGAGGATTGCTCCGCATAATGAAATCCCAAATGCTTTTCATTTCTGTTATTTTAGCAAGACCACAACTATGGTGAGGCCACTGGGCTCAAGGTTTAAGGGAGGGGGCGCCAAAAATTCAGTAATCAAGACGATATTTTAATGCAACGTTTACAAAAGCAAAACGAATACAAAAACATCCATGATGAACACAGTATCAATTAAAAAAATAAACATGGGTTCGGTATTACTGATTTTCTCTTTTGTTTCAGGCCCCAATATGGCTCTGCACAGCACTCGATATTAGGATCCTTGTACGCTTAGAAGGGGCCCTCCAAGTTCCAGCCTGGCCTGCCATGCTTGCAGAATTTCAGATACTCAGAAAAATCCCTCCTTCCTGAGTTAGATCGTTTGGGTGCTTATTAGTTTATATTCTGCCCCGTTGTCAGAGGAAGACATTCTGCTATATGTTTCAGGGAGGGCACGGCAGGCAGGGGGTCAGCTTCAGTGGGCCCAGATCACCAGATGGGTCTTCATGCCTTTGGACAGTGGCCCTATGTTAGGGATGTGAGGCACAGATAGAAGGTAAGTGTCCAGGTGAAGCCAGCCTGCTTGGGAGGTCCACACTCTAGGAATTGGGGTCCAATGTTGTGAACCACCTAACAACACCCAAGGTGGGGGGTCCTGAACCTGAGATATAGGGAATCAGGTGTCGCTGGAAGTAGGGGGTCCACACCACAGTCCCACCAAAACAGGGCAAATTCTGTTCCAACCCCCTTCCCTCTCCATTCCTTCATGACTGAAGGAAACTGTCTACATCCCATGCACCAACCATAATCCTAAACCCTAGATACCTGTCATCCAAACCAATACCACCAGTTCTGTTTCTTTAGGCTCTGAGAATTTAGCAGAAACTAAAACCAATATATATCACTTCTAACTCCATTTTCTACTCCACCCTCATCCCTGTCAATAAAGATCACAGCAACACTTTCAAGGCGAAGTGGGGAACTAGAGAGATTATCTGGATAGCTCAGTCCTCAATTTTTTCCATGTAATTATTAGACTTTAGGTGAAAGCTAATGAGGAGGGCTGAATATTTGGGGTTTCCCCTTCATTCTTACTGCCTTTTGAAACTATAGACACAGCCCAGAGGGAAGACACAAAGTTCTTTCCGAAATGTTTGTTTCCATTCCACCCTCACAAAACACTTTCCCTATACCCATCCCCATTGGGTCTGCTTTCTCTCAGGGACTCTTATCTATACACAGTGGGAAGAGTAGTGTCACAGTGATACACAGGAGAAAATAAAATGCTCAGGAAGAAAATGGGAGACAGGGGATCCAATGGCCTTTTTTGACTGTCTTCTGGTGACAATTTCTCAGGAAAACTGTTGGACCTGGCATTTTTCTCTGCCTCTATGTGAATAAACCATGATTAAAAAAAAAAAAAATCTTAAAAACAAAATAACTTTATTTAAACAGTATGGATCCTTTAGGTTAAAAAGGATTTGTTTTTGAACAAGACCTTTTGTCTTTAAATCTCTCAGTTCTCAAATTTGTTTTACTCCTAGAGATGTAACCATGATTTGGGAAATTGATGATTTGTTGACAAGAATAAAATGAAGAGGGTAGGTAGTGATACCAGGAGTTTGTTGCTTTTGTTGTTGTTATTGTTGTTTTTAATCCTCAGAACATTTTTTCAGGCTTATTTTGTTAAACTCATTTTACAAGATCAGGAATCTGAGGCTCAGAGTGGGTAAAATAACCTAAGTGGCAGAACCAGATTTTAAAGGCAGACTTTCTGACTCTTAAAATGATACAGTAAGTTTTAAAATGGAAATAGGCCAGCTGATACAATCCAGCTTTAAAACACCTCCTTTTCCCTGGAGAAGAATAAAGTAGGGTAAAGGTGGGTTTTTGTTTCTGAATTAGCCAAATAATTGTCCCTAATTTTTTACTTTACTTTCTTTAAACTCTTACAATTTTGGTTTCCTAAACTCTAGCTCTAAATTTCCAATGAGATTTAATCAACCCTAAAAAAAAATCAGTTTAAAAAGTAGACAACTGGTTTAAACTGGTGATTTTTCTCTATAGGATGCCAAGAATTGATTTAGCCAATTTGTCCTGGATCAGACCAACTGCAAGTTGTTTTGGCCTCCTGGGGAAATAACTCCAGTTTTGCCATCTCAAAGAAGCCCCCTTTCTTTGTCTGCTGCCTTATCTGGAAAGGAAGTGGTATGTAGAGATGAAGAAACATGTAGTAGCTTAGACTTGGAGATGTGCATACACTGCCTAAAGTGAGTGGGGGCTTAGTTACTAGTCTTACAATCACCCCTTCCCTAGTATCCATCCAGATCACATACACAAATGACTTCATGCCTGGAAACCTAATAGACACCTTTGAGGAGTAAATAAAAATCATATCAATGTTCAGCCATGGCTTTCTTTTTGGGTTTGGGGGCTCCTGTGTTTAGCTCCCCACAGCCCAGCCACTCTTGACCACCCGCCCCCCACGAGCAAGCTCTGGGCTCTGAAGAGTGCCTTGTCCAGCTAGAAATCCAGCTTGCTACTCTTCCCAACCCAAATCCAAAGGCTTGTCAGTAAGGACTTCTAGTATGGCCCAAAGAGCCCACTGTTTCTTTCTCCCTCTTTCTGTCTCCTGAACCCCATCTCTCTTTTTCTCCCTTTCTGATTCCCTCCTGGAATTTCTGCCTCTCTCTCCTCTCAAAAAAAAAACAAAAAACAAAAACAAAAACAAAGTCTACACTCACCATAGAGAGAGAGAGAGAGAGAGAGAGAAAACAAAAACAAAAACAAAAAAACCCACAAAAACAGAGCAATAAAGCAAGAATCTGTATAATTGGGAGAAGGAAGAAGCCACAACACATCTTGGCCCTAATTATCTGGATCTTGCTGAACAATTGCCTCCATCTCCCAAACCAGCCCAGACTGCCACAGATGAGGTTTCTCAGAGCCAGAGGCACTGTAGAGAGACAGCGGTGTTTATGCCTACATGTTGCCGAACAAACCACAATTGCATAGACAGAGTTATCTTGAAATCTCACTACTTCTAAAAGATCTCTGAGTGGATAGAAAGATGGAGTGTCTGAAGATAATTTCTTATTCATCTGCCTCTTGCCTGTACCTCTGCACTCACTGATACATCAGCCCAATTCTATTTCCACACGGGGATTGTGGGAGCACATAGCTGCTGAGGCATGCTAGGTTTTATATCCATTTCCATGCCATAATTTGCAAGTGTATTAAATCTCAATTGGGCTATACTTTTTAATTTCAAAGTTATTTTTCTCTAGGAGGCTGTGATCAAAAAAGTATTTATTTTTAGTGGAGATTGTTTTTTGTTTGTTTTGTTTTTTCCTGGGAATCTTTGAGATGTTTATTTTGCTCAAAGATATTGCTCAGCTTTTCTCCAATCCTTCACCCCTACTCCACACCACATTCATACATAGAACAGCCCCTTCTCTTCTACCTCTTCACTCTAAACCCATTGCACATTGCTATGGGCCTGTGCCCCCACCCACACAGTGGGTTTGGTGGGCACCTGCTCCCTTACCCCTTAGCCCCTTGGCATAGCCCATTGGCTTCCCTGCCCCAGGAATTCCTTCTGGACCCCAATCTCCTAAGAAGCTTTGTGTTTTGGTGAGACAGAGAATTAAAGGGCCATCTCTCTAAAATACATTGCTGTATTATGAACATGTGAATTGCCTATCTTCTAGAAATGTATTATGGTATATTTCATATTAGGTAGTTAATAAAAGAAATCATATCATATAAAAATATTATAGCCAGTACAGGGTAGGTGATGCATAATACCATGTACTAAAATTGTACCATCCTTAATTCTGGCAATCAGAAGTCACGGTGCCTAGTGTAGGTCATACCCTGGTATTGAGTTGTATTATACTAAGTAATTTCATAATATTCACAAGAATGTTATCTGCTGCACTCTCTAATATCATTCGGTTTTTTTTTTTTTTTTTTAAACCACCTACCTCTGCTTCCAATTCCGGATGCGGAGGAATTTCAGGCCCACCCTTACGAGGTCTTTGGGTCTATGCTTTCCAAGGAAAACATCCCTGAGCTTGGCATGTGGAACTGGTCAGGGAGCTGGGCACTGTCGGGAGACATCTGTGGCTGCCCTGGGCCCCCAGCCCCCAAAGACCTCTGTAGGTATCAGAAGGGAGAACGCTCTCCCACTGAGCTCTTCTTACAGGGAGAACAGACTCAAATACAGGACTCCCTAGACTGGAATCCTGATTTCTCAGCACAGGGCAGGATCCAAAGCTCTTGGTGTGGTTTTGGGAAACCTGGGACTGGTCTTGTAAGGAGAGCGGTGGGATTTGCAGGATCCTTTCTCTCTTCAACTGGAGACCGAATAAGAGGGGAATGAATGCTCCCTTCCCGTACTTAGCCAGACAAGACCAAGGGGTCCCCAGCCTGGGCCTGGACCCCAGAAGCCCCTGAACAGGTCTTCCTCTCCCATTTCTCATCCCCACGCCCTTCTTTCTGTGTTTGGGGCACCAATAACTAACTCTCTTTCTCGACCACATATGGGGGAGTTGGCAGTGGAAATGTCTATAAATTTGAGCTCAATATACCAGAGAGGCAAGGAAAACTTTACATTGCTGGGGAGGGATTCGAGCCTCCTCTCCACTCCCTCTCCAGAGATTTTGGATCTTCTGTTCCCTCAACAATCAGGAAATTCGTGGCCAGATTTTTAAATATGCCAAGAAAGGAAAAAAAGAAATTCCACATTTCTGTAGACCCCAGCAAATTAGTCCCCTATTTAAAAAATACTGTCTAGTGCCTGAACGATCCTGCAAATTCTGTCAAAGAAAGTGGGGGTTCTTATTCTCCCCCCTCCCCACTTATTCGGTGGGTTGGGGGTTTTGTCCTGGATTCCAAGGCACTATAGGCCCACCCTGCCCTCATCCCTGGCCGGAAGCGGGTTTAGGGGCCAAGAGCCCGGCGGGAGGCTGCGGCCGGCGAGGGGAGGCGGAGGC